CACACACACACACACACAAACACACACAAATAAATAAAAATTAAAAAATAAATAAAATAAAATAAAATAATACTACTGAGCTATGAAATCACTTAGAACATTTTGTAAGAAAGCATTGCTAGTTCAGTGGCACATGCCTGTAGTCCCACATACTTAGGAGGCTGAAGTAGGAGGTTCACTTGAACCTGAGAGTTCAAGACCTACCTGGGCAGCACAGTAAGACCGCATGTCAGAAAACAGAAAAAAAAAAAAAAAAAAAAAAAAAACAGGATAAGGTTAAAAAAAAAAACCAAAACATTAAAGAACAGAGAAAACCTCAGTAAACTGGGGGACACTATCACAGGTCTAACATTTACAAATAGGTTCCCAAAGTGAGGTGGAAAATGTTTAAAATAATAGCCAAAAGTTTTCTACATTTCATGAAGACTATACAAAGCTCCAAGAAATTCAGTGAACCACTATGAAGGTTAAAGATACAGGAAATCATCCTAGATCTTTCATACCAATAGTCAAAAATCTGTGATTCAAAGAAAACCCTAAAAATGACCAAGGAAACAGATGAACTATATTTAGAACAAAAATAAGAATTTCCCTGGACCTCACCTCAGAACTTAGGCGTATCAGAGAACAACGGCTTAAGGCAGAAATAAAGGGGCCAGGGATTTAGCTCAGAGGTGCACCCCATGCCATGCCTGGCAAGCGCGAGGTCCAGAACTTGATTCCTGGTATTGCCCCCAAAAAAGATAGAAATAAAAAATTATTTTTTTAATGTACTGTTTTAAGTCAAACTAAGGAAAGTAATAAAGAATAGTGGGAAACAGAACTGTATTTCTGAAAAATATTTATACTGTATGTGAAGTAGTACTAACATCATTTGAAGGTATATAGTAAGTTAAAGGTACAGATTGCACACCTTAAAATTACAACAAAAATAATGAACACACATAACTAAAAGGTGAACAATGGTCATAAAATTGAATCCTAAAGAAATCTGAGTAAATACAAAGAAAAGAAGTACAAGGGACCAACGACAAATATGGCAAAGAGGAAATAAACAGCAAGACAGCTGACTGAAATCCATGCACATCAATAATTATTAAGTGTACTTATTTTTGCACTTATTATTGGATTTTAAATTTAAATTGGATTTAAATTTAAACAACATAGTAACAAGTAAGAGGCAGATATTGTCAAACTAAATGTAAAAAGCAAGATCTAACTATAGGGGCTGGAGAGATGGCTCAGTGGTCTAAAGCACCTACTCGAAACAAGCTTGGCAAAGCACAGGGACCGCGGTTCGATCCCCAGCACCACATGCCAGCCAGACCCGCCCCCTGGTGGGCTGAGCTGGCCACACACACACACACAATAAATAAATGTACAAAAAAAAGATCTAACTATATCCTTCTAAGAAACCATTTTTAGGGCCAGGGAGATGGCTCAGTGGAATAAGCGCTTCCCTGGCAAGCGCAAGGGCCTGAGTTCAATCCCTGGTTTTGTCAAAAAAAAAAAAAAAAGAAAGAAAGAAAAGAAATCATTTTAAAATATATAAGGACACAGGTAAAGTAAATGTACCAATTTGAAGTGCATAAATTAGTAACAGATACAATAGACTTCAAGGCAATAAAGACATCCGATAATGATAAAGTTGTCAATTCATCAAGAAGGCATAAAAATTCTAAATGTTTATCTACTCAGAAAGAAAGCTTCAAAATAAGTGCAACAAAAGTTGACAGAATTGGAAAAAGTTTCTACAGTTTATTTTGTGGAATAAGTTTTTTTTTTTTTTTGCTCTAAATGCCCTAAGGGGTGGTTTGGCTGGCTGGTGTGCTGTGGGGATCGAACTACAGCAACCTGAGGCTGACAGCTTTTTTCTACAGTTTATTTTGATACAGACTTCAAGAGTAACAGACCAACACAAACCCCGCAAAGCAGTAAAGAAACAAGTATCTCAGCACCACTATTAAGTGTGTAGATCTGTGAGATACTGCTCATTGCAACGAACTCCAAGGTTTTAATTAAACCATACAGACTCATAAGATAAAACCTAGAAAACTGATCTTTTTTTTTTTTTTTTTTTTTTGCAGAACCGGGGACTGAACTCAGGCCCTTGCGCTTGCCAGGGCAGCGCTTATTCCACTGAGCCATCTCCCCAGCCCCTAGAAAACCAATCTTTGGCAACTACTTAAGCTCTTGACAAAAAAGTGATTCCATCAACATAAAATTGCGTATTTCAAATTGTGAGATACACAAGCAAAAATATGTGAAGACCAGTGGACTAAGGTAGCACTTGTCTGCATTCCATTTTCTCCACTAATCACATTCAGGTAAATAGAACTTTTTTGCTATTAAAGATCTTAATTATAAATAGCAAGTGAAATTCTCATGTTTCATTTTTAATTTAATGCTGCATTTTTGTAAGTAGCTATAAAATGTTGCTACTGGCATTATGAAAACATTTATTTGCTATGCCAAGTTCTCCACAAACATCTGCTGCTGATTTAGACAGATGACAAATCCTGTTTAAAGCTACCTCATCCTCTACATCTGCCTGACCTGCACAGGGTTATGCACCCTGTTATATGCTGGAAATAGAGATGTAAATGGAAATGTTCCTTCCCGTTAGGGACTCAGGCCAGTGGCAAACTCAGACTGCTAAAGTTATAACACTTAACTAAAGTATGAATGTACAATGGTAGGGTCACGTACTTCCCCTTTTTGCAAAGACAAAATACCCAACACCCCAAGGTAAAGGAAAGGCTTATTTAGCTCACAGTTTGTAGAGGTTTCAGTCCATAACCAGCTGGCTCCCAGACAGGGTGGCACACACAGCGGGGCAACACACCACTGTTCATGGTGGTGGAAAACAACAAAAGCAGCAAGGGCACTCGTACCCTTAATCCCGGCACTAGACCATGACACAAACTCTAGATTCAACCACCTCTGAAGAACCTGTCCCCACCCATGGGGCCAGGGATATAGCTCTGTGCCTGGCAAGCACAAGGTTCCAAGTTTGATCTCTGGTACCATACACACAAAAAAAGACCCTGCCCCCCATGACTGCATACACCTTTGGAGAGACATGTAGAAATAAAACATAACTGGCACTTTAAGATGAGCTAAAAATACATTTTTTAAGTACGAAAAAAAAAAAAGGGAATGGAGTGTAACAGAATGAAAGATTGTGTACCTAGATATGGAAGAAAGATTATAGCATGATCCAAAGACTACAAAAAGCTCACTGTAAAACCAAGCAATATTTTCAGTACAGTCTTTTTTTTTTTTTCCTTTTTTTTTTTTTTTTTTTTTGTGGAACCGAGGATTGAACTCAGGCCCTTGCACTTGCCAGGCAAGTGTTTATTCTACTGAGCCATCTCCCCAGCCCCATCAGTACAGATATTCAAATGTGAGATGTTTACCCATCATCCAAAGAGTCAACATCTGTGTAAATGAAGAAAAACAATTGATGACTTAATTTTTATTAAATACCCACTATGTACCTGATACCACATACAATGTTAGAAGCTGAAGAGGAAGTAAAGGAGAAACAAGTCATACAGGATCTACCATTAAGAAGAGAAGAGCTGCCACAAAAAAAAAAAAAAAAAAAAAAAAAAAGAAGAGAAGAGGCAGCCGAGTGTGGGGGTGCATGCCTATAACCCCAGACTCGGGAGGCTGAGACAGGAGGATCACAAAGTTTGAGACCTGCCTGAACTACATAGTGAATTCAAAACCAGCCTAAACTACATAGCGAGATCTTGCCTCAAAAACAAGGGCAGAGGCAGAAAGTAAAGCCACCATAGTATTAGCCTAATGATAAAATGCTTAAAAAAAATACAGAATGCACAATATTACAAAAGCAAACAGAACAAGACTAGCAGAATTTTGCTCCCAAGTAGTAATGTTACAGATGCTTTTATATATGCAAGTAGGAGTGAACTAGACAGAGAAAAGGAAAAACGTAGGAGTAAAAACAAAACAGTTCGGATAACAGCTAAAGGAAAAGAAAGTATGGCAAAGGAGACTAGAAAAGCCAGCTCACCAAGAGCAACGCGTAGTTATGAGGAGTCATAAAATGGTTTCTTGCATGAGTAAGATAATTAATCACCCTGTGGAGTGGAGCAAAAGATACACAGTTCTGGGGGTGGGGATAAGAAACATGGTCAGACCGAACAGAACTGCAATGTGTACTTCAAGGATGATATATATGTAATTTAGAAAGTAAAAAAAAGAATAAAGCAAAGGAAAGGACACATGCAAACATATACAGGACAGGGAAGAATTGGTAAGTATAGGAGATATTTCAAAGGTGACTACTTATATGAATATTTATAGCCACATATTAAACTATGTTTTGCAATTTTACGCATATTTCACATTTTAAGC